AAAAAGAAAAAAAAAAAAATCTAGTTTCACTCAGCCTTTTGCAGGGCTACCGAACACCTTGTTGGAGCGGCTAACAGTAAGAGGGAACTTCGAAGTTCGTGTTAACTGCTGTCAGTTTGGGAACTGCATGTTATATTCATACACATAAAGTAGACAACCACATCACCCTCCATAGAAAACTAGTGCATGCAAATAACTCTTCCATATCATAAAACCCAACGGCTATGCAGGAGGAGAGAGAAGATATACTAGTGAACTGACATTGGCTAGAGGGAAATTAGTAGGTATCTTCAACATTTTTACCTTGAAAGCTAAATCAGTGCTTTGTATTAAATTTTTGGCAAACATACCAGGTTGCCATCCTTTTAATTAACACATCACACCATGAAGAAATGCAAATAAAAGCAGCATGCAGGCAAAAGGAAAGAGCTGCAAGTGAGAAAAAAAAAAAAAAATGGCAGCAGGAACAGTTCTGAATGGCTAGATCACCAAAAAGGAGACACAGCAGATTAAATGTAGGTTTGTTTTTTTGTTGTCAAATGTGATTAAATTTGGGTTTTTTTTTTTGTTGTTTTTTTTTTTTTTTTTTTGCACCACCCTTTGTCCTCGATGCATTACACCAACAATTACAGAAAGCAATCACAAAAGAGTTCAGTATTTTAAAATGGTCAAGTATGGATGGTATGTCTCCTGCACATGCTTCCACCAGAAGAAAAGAAAAGAAAAAAATGAAAACAAAAGTTCCTTTCCACGTAAGGCACAGGACAAAATAAACCCCATTCACAGACTCAAGGCGAAAATGAGTTTTCCTGGCTCTTTTGCTGATGTATCTAGGGAATATGGTGACTCAAGCACATTATCCATGACAGAAAATTCCACTGTTGTACAAAATAAATTGTTAATTCTAACTTTTATTCTTATACAATTTGCAGAATAGAGTTGAATATGATTGCTATATGTTTTAATGTCAGGAGGAACGGGACTATAATACAACCAAAACGTAGTGGTAAGTTGAGCAGGTACATGAAAAAATGAAGTCACCGAGATCATTTTCCTATACATGTTGTTGAGAAAATTATAGTACGCAAGCTGTCCTAAACGGAAAACCAAAGGGAGACAGGAGCTCGTTAAGATGAGGAACAAAACATTGGTTTAAGGTTAAAAACGGGCAGAGTGGTTTGTTTTGCAGCGAGAAAAAAGGGGCGGTGGATGGCGATTGGTGATATAGGAGAAGGTTCAGCAACACTTGCTCTTCCAGCCTGTCACCCCACCTCCACTGCTGATATCTACATTTTCACTGTTGGGCTCTTTTACAGGGGTCTGCAACGAAACAAGTGGAAAGAGTTAGGTGACTCCTGAGACATTCTGAAATAATGTACGCAGAGCTGAAGAGAGAGCGGCTTACAGAAAGACTTACATCACCAAATAATATTGTGAATAAACTACGGACAAAGAGCTCCACAGAAACGTAGGGAATCCTCCCCCCGCCTCCAGCAGAAGTATGCTGAACCAATTTAAGGTTTGTTTTGTTTTAAATAAACAACAACCGGAAAGCTGGAAAAAAAAAACCCCACTTTTGAACTTGGACCACCCCGAAGTAAACTAAAATTAGTTCTAGATCCTGCTCTTAGAACTGACACTTGGACTTTGGCGGAGTAAGTAAATCGCAGCATACAACTAACACAAACTGAAGCTAAATTATGTGAACTAATGACCTTAAAAGACCACAGAGTAATTTATAGATAAAGACGGGTTGTTCAAAAGCATCTGCCTTCCAGTTAACCAGGACGCCAGTTTCCGAGGCAGCGGACAAAACAGGCTCGTCTGCGTCACGGGATGTAAACTTGGTTAGACCAAAGCAAAAATCAAAGTCAAGTGGTTTTGCTCAGATGCTAACATCTACTTCCAGCTGCTTAGAAACCAACCTAAACTTTCATGAGAATCCTGCAGTTTCGTCTCTATAATCCTTTTCTCATTCTCCTTGGCACAGTCTTGCAAAAGCAATCCCTCCCCTTCTTCAGATAGATACATTGAGGCCCAAAATAAAAATTCAAGGTCTAAAGGGTCAGTAAGATTTGCTGACCTCCTGTTTACCAAAGGCCAGAGATTTTCATCCAGTTTCTCACATAGAGCTCACCAAAAACTGATTAAGAAACAATTCGGAACTACAACGGTGAACCAGACATTGTTGAGCAGATGTGTATTTAAAACGGTCGCGAAAAGATTCAGCATTGACCTTGCAGTAGATTTCTACCCAATTAACTCAGATGACGTTATCAATGGCGTTCAGGCAGGAGAGCGGCGGAAGGCAGTGATGAAGGCAGTCTCAACACGGGGCAGGCTCTAGCGCTAAGCTGCAGCACAGAAAACCCCACGTAGGGCGATTCGTTTAGGAGCACGGCACATATACTAGAGTTGGTCAAGCCAAGCATCTCGAGCTCCGCAGAGTTTCGGTGCTGGAGAGGCACGGCCTGATCACACGCAGGAATGGGCTAGCACAGGCGTAAATCAAGTCCTTGGCTACGGGAGTACCTCAACTGACTGGAACCGGCCCTGGAGCCACCCCCGCACCCAGCCCAGCTCGATCCTGCAACAAAACAGCAGCAGCTATTGGAAGCCGATGCGTTTCCTATTCATGACAGACATCAGGGACACAAGTATAGCGCTGGGCATACAAAGATTTGGGTACAGGCCACAGGAAAGACAACTGTCTTTATGGTATGTTTCAGGAAGGGGAGCCAACCACCAGGACGAACTGCTGATCCACGTTCTTCTCTCAGTTGCAATGTAACCGTCCAATACAACCTCCAACGAAACGCAGAGGCTGAGAGGGCTCATCGTTGGGAACAAGGTAGGACATGACAGAGCTCATTCATCTGTTCTGCCAACCACGTCTAAACCCTTCCCAACAGGTGCTTAGGAGTGTTTGGGCAATGTCGTGTATCAATGGAGATGGTGGCAGGGAAAGGACGCCAACCAACACGTTGTAACTCCAAGCACATGTATGACACAACCACAAGTTTAAGGGCCAAACAACTATGAGTTTACATTCCTCAGCTCTTTGATGTATACTACCATCTCTAGATAGTACCCCTACAATAATGAAACTTCAAACAAGCTTTAGAAGCTTCAGCTGTACAATAATCCTCCTTCGGGGACCCATTTGTCTTAGCACAAAGTCAAAAGCTGCAACAATTCAGGTAAACATCGAAAGCAATAGGAGCAGAGATTTTAGGATTTTTTTTTTTTTCCAAAGGAAAACTGTAAGCACCTACCTTTCGAAGAATGTCTTCTGCTAATGTGAGGAATGCCTTCTCAATGTTTATATTTGCTTTTGCACTAGTTTCGAAAAACCTAATACCGTGCTCCCTAGCAATCTAAACCAAAAAAGAAAGAGGGTGTTAGCATTACTGCAAAGCTATTCAATTGGTGCTGCTGTAACTTCAGGATTAGCGCATTTATGAGCACATAATATTCTTGCAGCCGTAGCAGGCATCAGAAGTACTAGCTAGACCAAGTGTCACAAAAGAAGACTTGGAACTTAATGATTCAGAATGAGCAACTGAAGTATATTAAATCACAAGTGAACATCTGAACACAGGACGACAGATACTTATCACGTGACAGGCTTGTAAGGTAACTTAAAGGATGCCCGAAAAATTTTAGTTATCAAAGCAAGCAGAAACTGCAGCTGAACCCGTTCCACTCACTGCACTCCTTTGCAACGCAGCTTCTCAGAACACATCCCCTAGCCTTACAAACCATTAGTAAATCCAGCTGCCCTGCTCGTTCCCTGACACATCCCGCTGTGGCACCCAACCACCTGGAGATGGTGGGAAGTCTTGGCACTGATTTGCTTACTTTGACAAGCAAGTTTTTGTCCAACACTTACCTGTTCGCCTTTTGCTTTAGGGACAACTCTTTTATCTTCCATGTCACACTTGTTTCCTAACAGCATCCTCTCCACATCTTCATTGGCATGCTGCAACGAGACGAGAGACAGGTTTACACATCTCCCCCAAGAAGCAGTATCCACTTTGCTTTTATATTTCCAGGCTGGCTGAAGTCCAGACTGACATTTTCAGGTCTAGGTGTCCTGCACTTTCCCGAGTCCTAACAAAGACTGCTAGAAACCATTCATCAGACAGCGCCTTTAGACTGAATTGCTCACATACCCTAGAAGTGGAATGAGACAACAGCTACGGGATTGACACAGCTCCATCACCACCCTAACACCAGTTATTTTCCCCCTTCCTTTTTATTTCTGTAGTTTAAGTGTGAATTCTTCCTTTCTGAAAGCAACTAAGTGCTGTTCTGCAATGCAGAACCTTCTAGTTAATGTCACTAGCCTACCAAATCTTTGTTAGTTTGCATTCAGTGATGTGGGAAACGAATCAACTTCCTGCCTGGCACTTAGAGGTGTCAGGTTTTAGGTGTGATAGATAAGCACGTTACAGAAATGATGCTACAAAGCATTACAGGATAAGAACAAGCCCACGTCTACAGCTGCCAACAATCAAGCTTCATGCACTGCAGTGGCTCCAGCTGACACTACTACTTTTTTGGTGTTTAAAGGGTCCTTTGCATAGTTTTATTGTAGACAGGTAAGTCTCCTTAACAATTGCAACTATGCTTTCAACCACTGCAAAGCCAAATAACCAGGAAGTTAGCAAAAACCACCTTTTGCCTGTAATTTTTTTAGAGGTTAGCAAGTTAACTAACAAAGGGAAATTACAGCTCTCTAGCATCATGCTGTTCCTCCGACGTTGCAATCACCACAGCAAGACTGCATGTCGGCTCTGTGCTTTAGCTCTATCTGCTAGAATGCTTCACAGAAGTTGAGAAGCTCGCACAGTGAAATGGCACGCAGACGACACAGCAACCACACACAAACCAGGACATCGCAAAGGGAAAACTGAAGCCAGTGCCATGCTAACGCTCAGGATCCAAAGAAAAGCAGGACCACATAGCTGGGAATCACCTTTGCAAGGCAAAAAGCGAGTGCCAGTGCTTTCTCAAGGAACGCTGAATGAGCAAAAAAATCCCTTGGCTGTTCAGTTATTGAAGTGCTGCCAATATCCATCATAGTAAGGGAAGAACATGCCAAAGATATCCACCAGACTAGCAGACAAGTTTCAGCAGCCGCAGCACAAAGCATCACTTAAGTGGATAACTGAAGCACTTTGAAACCTGCCATGAGAAGCTTCTTGGAAAGTCTAATCTGAATTTACTTTCACTCCAACAGCCTTAATACTACTTTATGGTAGCATTACTAATAGTACTACAGAGGCAAGAGACCCATGTACCCAGTACTCCTGCTTACAGTAACAACCCATTTCACGCTCCTCAGGAGAATCACCCCCAGTTTCTTCCTTCAGGTCACAAGGAGGAAGAGCAACCAGACAGTAAAGGTAGATTAAGATACTGCATAGAATAAGACACTGAAAACGTTGACTTTTCATGCACGCACACACACAAAACTGCTTACACAGCAACAGACTTCTTGCAAATATAGCCAGCCCCAACGTACAAAACTGGGCACTTGAGCAACTCGACTAATTCCTGCTAGCCCAAAGCAAAAGTGCATGGCATAGCACACCTCTGCAGAATGTGTGAACTTCAAATAATTACGTATTTAGCAAGGATCAAGGTGTAACAATTCTAGTTTCCTAGCTATTTCTAAATCAATGCTTAAGTATCTTGTGGAAGAGCCTCCTTGCACAGAATAACAGTTCAGTTTGCTTATTGAAAATTCTCCTGAGAGAATATTCTTGGCAATATTAACTCCTTGTGAAACCAAGGCACTTAGTTACTTCATTCACAACTATCATTTGCGATAGTCCTCTACATGAGTGGGTAATACCTGCTACACGTTTTAGGGAGAAGCCCCAACACTGCATCTGGAACCTCAGAGGATGACTTCACCCATCATTTCAGCCAAACACACTCTGTTAGGAAGCTTTTTTTATTACAGAAGCAGCTCACTAAGGTGTCAAACATCCCTCATAAAACTGCTGTGACCATGCAGCCTTCACAATGCACCTGAAATCAGCTGCAGAAGTTTGTGACACAGATTTAAAAACACGAGATCAGCAAAACCATTCACTTCTCGGACGCAATGGTATGAATGACATCCATTACTCAACTTCCTGGATACTACTAATTTTTTTTTTTAAATAAAGCAACTGCAGAATCTAAAGGCCTTGGCTTCAAGTTTACATTCAGCTCACTGCTAAGTCTCTTACTTCACCACCACCACCTCTGTACCCTCCAAAATCTGTACCTTTCCATAAGCAGTGTAGTTTCCCATTTCTTGTGCTAGGAAATGAAAGGCTCAATATCACATTTTTGCTCTGTAAGAACCTGTCACCAGCCTCAATGCTTCACCTAGCAATGCCTGACAGCACCCATCTGCTGACGCTCAGTTCTACAGGGCCATCTTCATGCTTTCTAGGAAAATAACGAAGCTAGAAAATCCAAACATTAATTCCATTTGGGAACAGCATAACAAAAGCAAGAACCAGCAGTTGTGCTGCACTCTAACATCTCAGAACTCCCGGAGAACGAACTCTTGGGGATCTGGGCACTTAATGTTTCCACATCAGTTTCTTCTGCTTCACTTGACCTTGCTTGAAATTTTACCAGCCTCCATGTTCAGCATACTCCTCTAACAAGGACAAAAGTCAGCCCTGCAGGTTTGAGCAGTTTGCTAACATTCAACAACAGCAGTTTGCCATATACCTGCAACAGTCATGATAAACTTGCAAATATTTCATGACTCCAGTTTTGAGGGAGCGGAGGTGATAATATTTAATTATCTCTGAAGATTTACAGAGTCATCCATATACAATAGGTTAGTACTAGCAGTGACATATTCTATAGCTACTCTACAGCTTATGGCTTAGCACTGCTCCTCTGCGCACCACCTCATGGTGGCAGCTCCTCCTGAAAACCACAACTCCTCATTACTGGAAGAAGTATTCCTTACCTCTAAGTATTCTCCAGCACAGAAACAAAGTTTACTCATGGACAAATTTGACATTTTAGGACACCACTAGCCCCTGTGTAGCGTTGCAATCCTTCATGCCATTGCTGAGGGGAGAGCTGAGGGAGGGAACACAGGACATAGGGACCCAAACCCCTGTGGTAATTTACACGCTACACCTTCTGCCAGGGGAGAATCCCCGACGGGTTGGGGTGGAAAGAGCCCCCCCAGCCCACCCAGTGCCCCCCCTGCCATGGGCAGGGACACCCTCCACTAGCCCAGGTTGCCCAAAGCCCCATCCAACCTGGCCTTGACCACTGCCAGGGAGCCAGGGGCAGCCACAGCTTCTCTGGGCACCCTGGGCCAGGGCCTCAGCACCCTCCCAGGGAAGGATTGCTGCCTCCCATCCCATCTCCATCTCCCCTCCTGCAGCTTCAGGCCATTCCCCTTGGCCTGTCCCTCCCTGCCCTTGGCACCAGCCCCTCTCCAGCTTTCCTGGAGCCCCTGCAGGGACTGGAAGGGGCTCTAAGGCTTCCCCAGAAAAAGAAGCTGCAATCCAGAAGCCGAGTTCTGTGGGACTCACGTGCTCTACCAGTCACAACAAACAGCTCAGTTCCAGAGTATTACAAACATCACTCACCTCATCTATGTTTCTGAGCCACTTGCTGATGTTTTCAAAGCTCTTGGCGTTGGTGATGTCATATACTAGCATGATCCCCATGGCACCTCTGTAATAGGAGGTGGTGATGGTGTGAAATCGCTCCTGTCCCGCTGTGTCCCTGCAGAAAACAGACAAGAGCACACATCAGAGGCAAGCTCTAAAGAAACCAGCACGGTATATCTATTATAGGTATCAGACATATATATATTAAAGAAGCACGCATGGCCCCATACATGCTGTACTGCACCACTACGGAGGGATGCGCAAAGTTTTCAAAGAGGGGCAGGACACAGTCCAATGTGCAGCAGCTTCAAGGAAGGCCCACGCCTCCCCAGACGTAGATGAACACTCCGAGAACAAGGGCAAGCTTCAGTGAGCCAGGCTCAAGAGGGTACAGAAACTCCGGGTTTGAAGTTTCCCTTTTGGATTTTACTTTTAAGGGTATTGTTTTTTCAAAAACACATTTCAGAGTCAACCATGACAGAGAGACAAAAGACGCTGGAATGCTTAACTGGGCTTACACGACTACAGTGGCGGAAGACGAAGCTAGCTGTTGAACAGCAACGTGGTAAGTTGCAGTAGGTCCTCTGGTGTACTGCCACAATAAATCAACCCAGTATCGAGTCACGGTAGAAATTTGGTAATTTTAAACTTTGTAATTTTATTCACCACTTGAAACTTGCACCTAAAAGAAGAAACTTTTATTTCCAAGTCTCATATCTCGGGGAAGCGTCTCAAAGACTTCTGAGCCCCAGTAGCAAACAGGATGAAAACAGGAGCAAGAAATGCTCTACCACCACTTCGACAGGACTGTGAGCTCCAGCAGTGGGAGTGTCTGAACAACCCCAGAAACATCGCTGTCCCAGACACTCTCCCCTGTTACTGACCAGTTCTTCCTAAATGAACCTAAAAATAAGCTGCTTTAAAACTCCACCTACCATTTTTAAGTTACATACCATAACCACTGACCAGCCCGATTAGACACTGCACAACCCCAGCTGACGCAGTACTGAAGTTTCTGTAGGAAGTTCCCAAAATATTGTAGGTTTTAGCCGTGCCGCTGTCAAAGCCAGCAGAGTCTGGAACAGCAATGACCTGGCCCAACTATCCAGTCAAGGCTACCACAATGCCCAAGATCATCCCTTTCCATTTCAGCAGCTGCTCAGCAGCCACAAAGACGATCACTCAACATTTTCTGGAACTCAGACTTAAAACTGAGAAGAATTTTGTTTTCAGATCAATTTTATAAAGCCTTGACATGATCTTACAAATTCATACAACTTCATATTCCTGAAATTACAAATACAAATTCATAGTCCTGAAATTTTAAAGTGTTTGAAAAATAAATCTAGGAGATGGACTGTAACATTACATTGTTGATTTCTATTAGCAATATGCTGAAAATCGATCATGCAAGATTAATGACAGTATGTGTTTTCTCACCTCATTCTGAGATCTCTGATGGAATGCATGAGATTTGGTTAAACAAACCTGCATGCCATTAAGTTGAGAATTAGGAGTTCACTGCCTATTCTACAGTGTTTTTCAGAGGACAAACCTAACAGATTACATGTTTTCAATGACACTATTCACATGAGGAGGACACGGAGCTGCTGGAGCGAGTCCAGAGGAGGCCACGGAGATGCTGCGAGGGCTGGAGCACCTCTGCTCTGGAGACCTCAGGCTGAGAGAGTTGGGCTGGTTCAGCCTGGAGAAGGCTGCAGGGAGACCTTATTGCCACCTTTCAATACTTCAGGCGGGGGTTATAAGAAAGATGGGGACAGACTTTTAGCAGGTCCCTTCCAACCCAAACCATTCTATGATTCTATGACCTGTAGCGATAGGACAAGGGGTAATGGGTTTAGAATAAAAGAGAGGAGATTCAGACTAGATATATAGAAGATATTTATTACACTGAGGGTGGTGAAACACTGGCACAGGTTGCCCAGAGAGGTGGTAGATGCCCCATCCCTGGAAACATCCAAGGTCAGGTTGGACTGGGCTTTGGGGAACCTGATCTAGTTGAAGATAGAATCACAGACTGGTTTGGGCTGGAAGGGACCTCAAAGATCATCTAGTTCCACCCCCCCTACCATGGGCAGGGACACCGTCCACTAGACCAGGTTACCCAAAGCCTCATCGCAGGGGGTTTAGATGAGCTTTAACGGTCCCTTCCCACCCAAACCATTCTGCAATTCGATGACTCTATGACAAGGTAGAATCAAAGGCGTCTCCAAATTTATACTGGTCTAAATTGAGATGACACATTCCCTAACTGCCTTCAGAAAGGCACAGGGTTTCCCCTGTGACCTACAGACCCACATTTCCTTGCTCACAAACCAGTAACCTCAGAAAAGATCATGGACTGCAGTTGATCTAGTTCAATTAATTTCCCTCTCAACTGTTCCTGAGGTCACAGCAAATGCCTTGGCAGAACGTGGACACCACCGGGCACCAAGTCCCATGAAAACTCGGCTCTCCCCACTGCCCTGTCACCTACAGTTGAACCAACAAATGCTGACTGCTGTTGCCAAATCAATTTATTTGAAGCACACATCAGATTTCTGGCCAAGTATCAGTTGGCAAATGGAGAGTAAATGAAAAGCCTCGAAATCTGAAGATGCCATAGAGGAACAGTTCTGAGATGCAGGGAAATGCTCTACAAAGTTCCTTCTCAAAGAGTCTTATCAGACCCCGGACCACTGTTCTAGCACACACAATAGCTGCTGGAGAGGCTGATTGCTCCTCATCTTTTATCTCCTCCCAGGAGATGACAAATATCAGGAAGAAGGCAAACTGTGGAGGAGGAACAGGGGCAGGTCCTAAACCCAAGCACCACTTTGTTCAGAGATGTTCTAGCAGGCCGTGCTGTGCAGAGGTCTGGCTCACGGGCAGTAGCCTCGAGAGGCAACCTAGTCCATGCCCTGGCTCCTCAAAATGTTGAGGAATACCCACATTATTCCTGAAAGATGCCTGATGTTCTGCTGGAGACATCTGATGATTGTCGGCTTGAACCCTCCTCTCTCATTTCCTCTCTGCCCCATTTGGATGTTTCTTCTCATGGCACACTTTGGTTTTCCTTAGTGCAAATTAGGGCCATCAATCCTTGTGTAACCTTTCATAGGTAACGAGACGAGTTGATTCCCCTTCTTTCTACAATTATTTTTTACATACGCAAACACAGCTCTTGCACCTTCCTTGAATTTTCCCCAGCCACCTCAAGTTCTTTAGACCTTACTCGCTGGCCAAAGGTCTACGATACGCAGCCTCACTCATTACTCTGGGCTCCCTCCCATTTGCCCATGTCTAAGCAAAAACCAGGACACTACTCCAGCTAAGTCTTCCCAGCCTCACACGGGAATATTTTCTAGAAGACCTGGGCATGCCTGTTTACAAATCCCACTCCCTTCCTTCATGATGAAGCAGGTGACTTTTCTGACATTTGAGTAACGGATGACACGTACTGAAATTGTAACTGTGCATTTGTGTCTAATGAATTTCGCAGGACTTTTTCCAATGACATTTCTCCAATGCAATCTGAATTATAATCCAGTCCTCTACACAATTTATACTTTGCAATTTCACCTTTTCCTGCTTAGCTTAAATACAATAACCATACTCTCTATTGCCTTATCCCAACCATTAAAGAAAACAGTGCCTATCATGAAACACAGGACAGACTCCTGCAAAATATCTCAACAGAACCCTTACTCATGCATCGTTTATTTTCTCTTGCCATGAGTTTTGGATCCACTTGATAGCCCCTTCCCCTGACTCACTTCCCCCTAAATTGCTTATATCAAGCAGGACAGTGTCAGAAAAGCCTTACCAAGAACATCAAGACATAGGGCATCTGCGATTTCTCCCCTCCTGACAAGGCCTGAGGCCATCACAGTAAGAATTCAGATTGATTTTACACAACTTGGCATCGGCAACACTTAGTTGTTACTCATTGCTTGTCACGTCCTATGCACCTACAACTAACTTGCTTAGTTAACTCCTCCAGTGCTTTTTCTGGCGACCGAAGCTAAGCTAATGGATGAAAAGAAAGCTGGGGAGGGAAAAAGCAAAGAACCTGGAGTGTTTCTTTTTTTTTTTTTTTTAAATAAGTACTATATTTGCCCTTTCCCCTCTTAATGGATTCTCCATTCATTATTCAGAGATAACTCTTAATGGATGTGAGATTAGAGAACTGACTGAGGCAAACAGAGGAAGTGAGTTATGGTTTTCAAACTGCCTACGACTGATGAATCCACCCTGAGCAAACGGCACAAGACAATCGGAGATAGCAATGTCTTATTTACTGCCCTGGCTTTCCATTCTTTTGTTCAAACCTTCAGGATGTAAGAATATGCTCCAAAGCTGTGGGTGTGCAATAAATCCTTGATGTAGGCAAAAACATTTGTGGAAGCTAATGTAGACAAAGACTATTAAGGTAGCCAAGGAAAACGAGGCCCTACTGCACAAGAGGAAATCGAACTTGGCTTGTTTAGCTGCAAAATGAAGACAAAGAAGGTCGTCCTGTGGGACTAGGGAAAGGAGAAGCACAAGGAAAGTGAGAAATCCATTGAAATTATTCTCATGCCAACATTAAAGTATGCATAAGCTATATCATATTAGAGGTTTAACCAACAGAGAAAAGAACTTCTGGGACAGCTTTCCAGTTGACCTAGCAGAGACTAAAGAAACCTTAAAATGTACTATTATTTGTTTATGAAAGATTTACACGGATGCAACAAGAAGAGATTACATCTGATGATCTGTGAAGATCCTTCCAGTCCACATAGCTCAAAATAAAGGTCTTCAATGTATTAAACTAAATTCTTAGCAACATAATCCTAAGAATTTTATTACAGTCCCACTTTCTTCTTATATTTGTAAAACTACACAGCAGAGTATTGCATCGAAGAAACTGTACTGCTGCCATCATGCACACTCTGGGAGCTTCAGTGACTGGGTCGAAGACTTTCCTTCACGAAGGAGTATCTGTGAGAGACTTCGTGACCGGCAAATTTCAGCTTTTCTGAAAGATATTCAGCCAGGAAAAAAAAAAAATCTGTAATGAGTGAAGTATCCAATTGTTTTACAGGAAGTCAGACTGACACGCCAAAAGAGTCTCTTCCACCCTGAGCTATGCACACAGTGAACAGTCTCAAAAGCTCTCAGCAGCAAGAGTTAACTATTATATCTTCCTAGGGTAATTGCAAAAATTAATGAGACTGGACGTACACCAGTCAGTGGTGCTGTCTGCAGCTTTGGCAGTTGACCACCCTACTTAGTAAATGCAAGAACTTGCATATAACAGGGAATTGCCACACGTGGAACTATTCCGGTTAGCTATGTTGCTGCACACTTCTTTCACTTGGACAGGTCTTCCAGGTCAGATGATTATTTTTGCAACAAGCTCATTGCTGAATAAAACAAAATTCTGAGGACATTTTTCTAGCCACATAAAAGCATTCCCAAAGATGCACTGCTAGAAAAAAGTTTCTTCATGGTCTTCTACACAGTTAAGAGCTGTATACTAAAAAAAAAAAAAATAAGGCTGTTTCTAAAATTTGGAATCGGTCAACAAGACTGTAGGAAAATATGCTGACATACAAGTTTTATGTAAAGACAGGAGGATCAGAGTAGCAGCTAAGTAGGAAAAAAAAATTAGATGTCTTTGAATCTCTGAGTTCAGTGTTTTTCAGTTTACTACACAAGCAATTCTGTCATCGTACTGCTTCCATATTAATACAACACACTCAAGTGTGATTGTTTCATACATCACTGAAAAGAAACAAGTCGCTGTCTTACCCAGCTCTGGAAGCTCTTCAGGATCTAGCCTTTTCGATCTCAACTTTCTGGCCTTGACGCTGCAAGTCACTGCACTGCTACAAGCCTGTGCAGACACTCCCGTGCAGCAGCTCTGCAAACAAGGCTGTCCCAGGCACAAGAAGAATCAAGCGCTTTGCTAACACGTACCTACAGTCATTCACCTCAGTCTATCAGAGATCCTTGTTCTGGCGTGACAGTACACGCTGCCAGGCTGCCAGGAAAGCAACCTGCATGAAATCTGGTAAATGGAAAATTCACAGGGGAGGAATCAACAACTGTTAGTTCCCATGAACCCCTACAAAACGAACTCTTCGTACAGCTCTACCCATGTATTTTGGTTACTCCTTACCGTCAGCTTAAGACTTGTCATGTATACACCATGTGGCTGTTTAAAGAAACCTGGGTTTACTTACTACTCTTAGAAAAGCAAATACGGACCTCTTGAAAAGGCTAATCACTCACCCACTGCTCACATAACCCCACTCTGTTTATAATCCCTAGAAAGCTATTCCTAAATACTGCAGTTATTTCTTGAACAGCTTTCTACCCTACCCCATCCCTCCAGATTCCACAGTCAGCATCAGGGTGTTTGGGGTTTTTGTTTTGAATTCACTCTCCCAATATCAATCACCTGTCAAACCACTTCCAGATTTCCTCTCACAGTTCCTAGTTGTCTCCCCAGACCGCAGAGTCTGTGAACAGAGACACCAAAAAGTGGCTGTACTTTCTGCAACCGATTTTCACAGAACATTCTTGAATCACTGGAAAGAGGGCTCCTGGGGTAAGTTCTTCTGCAATAGCAGAACAGGATGCATCCCGATCCACTTATTTGTCAAGTTCTGTTCCAAAGTACCTGGCCAATCAAGGGGCTTCTCCCCCGTCCACATTCCCCTTTCTCTACTTCATCCCCATTACACTGAACCAGAGCTTCTCCCAGAGTCTCCCACTCCTGCTGGTGGATTTCCAGCAACTTTCATTTCCACAGTCCTTGAGCTCAGAGAGTCCTTCCTTCTCCTCCGTGTCTGCTACCACTATGTATTTTCTGGGCAGTTCAAGGACTTCTGGAGCCAGAGATCCCATCTGTGTGTTTAACAGTCCAAAACAGACTGTTCCTTTGTGAATTCCCTTGCGAACCTGCGTACATCTGCAGCTACCACAACATCTTGTGATGAGGAGTTTCACAGCTTAGCTTCATTTCCTTGTGTTGTGCCCGTGCCACCTTTCAGCCTTGTGCCAGAACTAATGCTCTGGTACTGGAAAAGTCAGTGAGTTACATCAATCTTTGCCTGCCTTTTCCAGTATACTCATGATTTTTAAAAAAATGCACTTTGGTCACTTCTCTGACATGCTGAAGAATCCTAATCTTTCCAGTTGTTCTTCCTAAAATAGCTATTACATCCCTCTGATCATCCTATTTGCCCCTTTCTTCTAGGGCATCAAAACTGTGTATTATGTTAGATTGTGACACTTACTTCCCTGCCCACTGGAAATTATTACACTCACTGTATCGGAAAAATCCCATCTAATTTTTCAATTGCTGCAGTATGCTAATAAGTTTAGTGAATTACAGGATGCCCAAGCCTTTCGGTTTCCATTTCAAAGTGATTCTGTCCGTGTTCCTGCAGTGTATAATATTACACTCTCCATAGCTGAATTTTTAGCTCTATTACTCCATGGGCATGACCCATACTTTGGATGCAAGAAAAGCTACAATAACAGCCTTAGGTTTACAAAGGAAACGTTCCACTAAATGCATCCTTTGCATATAAACTGCTGCAGTGGGAGCGAGGTGGAATTCTGGAAATATGTTACACAACTCCTGGAAGTACAGGGTGAGTTTAAATACAGGAAGCGGTGGTTAAATATAGATGCATTGCACAAAATATCTTCACCAAAAGACACTACTGTTCTAGCCACCAAACCACTGCTGGGCAAAACTTGTACAGGAAAAGCTGGAAACTACAAAGCCTTTTTAAAATTTTATTATTATTATTTTCCATCAAAAGTGCATGCCACAGGAACTTCATTTTCTGCTTTCCAAGTTTCATTTCAAACGTGAAACTTTAAACTGGCAGGAACAAGCAGCAGATCCAGACAACGACCTCCCAACTTTGCAACGTTTAAAAGTTGCAATTTCATAAAACTCAGCTCACCCCAATCCATCTTTGTGTCCCTCAGCCGCTAAAACCCACGAGGCGTACAGCTTCCTTATGGCTTGCTTCTCTATATATGTATCAAACATCCTCCGCATTCCAGATTTTCAGTTTTTACATTTCACAATGACTTCTTCCTAAGTTTAATCTAACAGTTCCTTCAAGTCATCCCAATGCTTTGTTCTCCCTTTCTATCCCACGGTAATGCACAGCACTTACCCTGCTGGGGTAAAAAATATGACAAAACAATTGACAGAAGTTACGGTTTGATCTGGGTTGGAAATCTGAACGTTAACAGTCTGGTGAACTCACACAGCAAGAGCTGCTCAGAAAGTCAGCCAGCAAAGCTGCATGACCCTGAACGTCTCTTCGGCTGACGCTCAGTCCCTTCCTTCCCACTGCCCTGCTCTCGGTTCCCGGCTGATCTATACCCGTCCTTCCACAGACAGCTCCATCCAAAACACTGCCCTTATAAACGCAGTCTCCCTTTGCAGCTCCCCGCTGAAGCATCCCAGCACATCGAGTTACTTCATCGTCCAAGTGCTTCCTTATCCACCAGCTATGCAGTTTATACCAAAAAAATAATAATCAACTTTGACAACTCTTTCACTTGCAGGGCACAACCCAAAATAACTAAATTGGCCGACTTCTGCTTGTAGGATGGGGATATGAGAAACAACCGAGACATGGTGGATGCTCAGAGCGATGGTAACACGAAGGATTCAGAACACATTTGTTCGGAAAGATAATAATTCAGCCAGAAGAAGATCAGTGCTTCCTTCTAACTGGAACCCATCTGCCTGCACCTACAAGCATAATCATTATCAAGCCATAAAAGATTTTCACTAGTGGGGGACAAAATGGGCAAATTCAAGTTCTGAACTCTCAGTAAAGCTGGAGAATGCACTAGCAATATGTGTACCTGGTTGAGGAGGGAGTATAAACAAAAATATAGGCTAGGAGAAGCCATTAGCTTTCCTGATCTGACTTGTTACAGGGCTACTTAAAAAGAAGAAAAGTCTCCAGTAAAACATGCACAGCAAGCTAAAAGTTAAGTTTTGCCTCATGTTAGGCTTTCCAACAGAAAAGCAGTCGTGTTTTCAGCCAGCTGAGAGACTGTCCGCAGTTTACTATGGAAAAACCTAAGCGCAGGCATGGATTGCACTTCCCTGCTGATGCAAAGCAAGGCTATTGCTCAATTTATAGTCACAGATTCAAGGCAACTCCTCATTTAAAAATTCCAGTTCTAAAACATTTCCCCCTAAATCACAGACTGCAAGGGTCCTGTCGTCACCAACAGATCTGCCAACAGCCTGCCCAAGGCAGCAGCCAGTAACAGCGGTTATAAACGCAACGCACAGATCTCTTCCCCATTTCTTGAAAATTTAGGTGAATACACAGGGCTTTACCGCTACTGAAAATACAAAGCGGTTACAAAATGAGACACCTGAATGTAATCTCAGAAAGAGTAAACTCTTCTCATGAAAACCTGCTTCTGAAAGAAGCCATCCAGAAGGACGTAGCTTCTCGGCATATTACTCACCATATCTGTAGCTTGATCTTCTTTCCTTGTAATTCAACTGTTTTAATCTTGAAGTCTATCCCTAAAATAAACAAACACATAAATAAGTCATTAGTATTTATTTACCAAAAAAAACCAATCCCACATCAACTCAGAATTGCTGCAGACAGAAGAACAGCTTTCTGCTTTTACTGGATCGTCAGGTAAACCAAGGATGTCCAAGTAAGCTGGAATGCAAGAGGAGCACGACGACTGCGGTGGTTTAACCCAGCAGGCAGCCAAACCCCAAGCAGCCACTCGCTCTCCCCCCCACAGTGAGATGGGGGAGAGAATCGGGGTGAAAAGTAGGATTTGTGGGTTGAGATAAAAACAGTTTAACAGGACAGCAAAGGAAGAGAAAAATAATAACAATAATAATGATAAAAGAATATCTAAAACAAGTGACACCATGTCCCCTCCCAGCTTCTTGGGCACCTCCTCACTGCCAGGGCACGGGAAGCTGACAAGTCCTTGACTTAGCACAAGCCTTACTGAGCAACAGCTAAACCGTCAGCGTGTTACCAACGTTATTCCCAGCCTAAATCCCAACCACAGCGCTATACCCGCTGTTAGGAAGGACATTAACTCTCTCCCAGCTGAAACCAGGACAACGACCAACACAAACAGGGCCTCAAAGGTCTACAACCGGTCCACAGACACCTTCGGGTAACACTGTTCAGATGATTCGGCTTGCAAAAGCTTTTAAGTTTCTTGCTTGTTTTTACAAAAGAACAGTATCAGGATTTTGCAGTTTTTCTGGAGAACTTCCAAAAAGAAGTTTGCGTATAAATTTAAACACCCTAAACAAAATAGCAAGCTCTTCTTGTTTTTTAAGACGACACCCCCCCCAAATGATTAAACCACAATGATTTGCATATGCTGAAAAATTATGTGAAATATTGCAATTTTTCATTTACTTAACTTTTACACCTAATCCTTGTGGTACCACCAATTCAGAAACCTCTCAAAAAACCTGCCTCTTTTTCTCCCAAGATTGACCTTTCCATTCATCTTGTTCAAGTAACCTAGCTGGAAGAATAACAAGAACTACAGAACTCTTAATGCTCGTTACCCATTTAACGTAACTCAAGGCAGTCAGTCTGCGCGAGAGCCTACACCAGAGCATGTGACAAGACTCCAAAACTGTTAAAAATAGTCCTCTTGCTTTTTACACCGTTGAAACAAGCAGCAGAAGCCCTGAACTGTCTCTTGAGTTAAACACAAACGCATGTGGTTTACAGTCAGTCAACCTCAAGCTTCAATAATGTAAGCAGAACGGTTTAAGCAAGACGAAGCTTTCAACCAGCAGTAAAAGGCAAAGGTTGGGTTGGCCCCCAACCACCACGTCTCTTCGTCCGGGTCCATCCCCCGGTCCAGCCTCCAAGGTGGTACAAGCAAAGTCACCACTTGACAGAAGCGTGTAACCACGACTCTCAAAACTCACAGAGTATGCAGAAAACATCTTGACAGAGCATGAGTAAGGTTTTACTTTTAATACCAACTAATACCAAATAATTCACATGCTAATTTGTGGCAAAAGCTGAAATGGTATTGCAAGGAAGTTAACTATGGGATTTGCAAGGACTGACCGAAGAGGAGATGAGGCAGACCTGTCCTGAGACGACTTAGGAAAGAAGAAACTATCAAACTGAAGACAGATCCTTAGCTGAGACCAATGCTGAAACCAGTATTTAATACTTTTTATGATTAATTCTGGTGCAATAGATTGTCCTATCTGAAGTCTACTGCTTACCAAAGCAAGAGGCATTGTACAAAGGATGACTGAAATAAGAAACTGATAATCTTGAAGACAGAATAAAAACAAGGGATGGGTGTCAGCAGTACGAAACACAACATTACTTGCCTGTTACCTAAGAATTTCTTCTGTGAACTAGGAGCTGCTTTCACATGACAAAGAAGAAAGATGAAAGGCTGAGCGATTACCATTTTACTTTCAGGGAGTAACCATAATCCAAAGGAGAGGCAACCCTAGAATAAGCGAATAGTCATGCAGGCAGCTGGTGAGAAATTTCCATCCAAGGCAGGGAAACACGAACACCGTTGTAAAAGGCCTTGGTGAAACCTCATTTGTGCAATAGGTGTACAAACTAATCACTCTTCCCTAGATGAGATGGGCTCAGACCAAAATCGATGCCATGCAAGACAAACCAGGATGAGGACCCCCCCACCAGCTCCTCCATAGCACAAGAGGCTTGAGGACCATGTCTTGTTTCAACCTGTTCTTCCCAAAACTGAAGAAAAGAAGGGGCAGGCAACTCAGGAGGACTACAAAGAGGTCACGAGGCAGGGAGAAAATTAGAAGGGCCAAAGCCCAGCTAGGACTTAATCTGGCTACTGCTGTAAAAGACAGTAAAAAAATGGTTCTATAAATACATTAGCAACAAAAGAGGAGCTAAGGAGAATCTCCTTCCTTTATTGGATGTGGGGGGAAACATAGGGACAAAGGATGAGGATAAAGGCTGAGGTCCTTAATGCTGCCTTTGCCTCAGTCTTTAGCAGTAAGACCGGTTGTTTCCTGGGTACCCACTCCCCTGAGTTGGAAGACAAAGACAGGGAGCAGAATGAAGTCCCCATAATCCAAGGGGAAATGGTTAGCAACCTGCTACACCACTTGAACACACAGGTCTATGGGGCTGGATGGGATCCACCAAAAGGTGCTGAGGGACTTGGCAGAAGTGCTCACCAAGCCACCTTCCATCATTTATCAGCAGCCCTGGCTGACCAGGGAGGTCCCAGTTGATGGGAGGTCTGATGGGAGCGGCTGAGGGAACTGGGGGTGTTGAGCCTGGAGAACAGGAGGCTGAGGGGAGCCCTGGTCACTCTCTACAACTACCTGGAAGGAGGTTGTAGCCAGGTGGGGTCGGTCTCTTCTCCCAAGTAACAAGCGATAGGACAAGAGGGAACGGGCTCAAGTTGTGCCAGGGGAGGTTTAGGTTGGAGATTAGGGAAAATGTCTTCCCCCAAAGGGTTGTCAAGCCCTGGGACAGGCTGGCCAGGGGAGGGGGGGAGGACCCCCTCCGAAAAGACGTGGAGATGTGGTGCTTGGGGACATGGGTTAGTGGTGGGCTTGGCAGGGTGAGGTTAGTGGTTGGACCCTGTGATCTTAAAGGGCTTTTCTAACCTAAATGATTCTGTGAGTCTATCACTCCAGTTTCCCATAAGAATTATTAGCACAGACTACATCCAGTGGAGCAGGAACACTACAAGACATCTTCTCAAAATGCTCCAACACTAATTAGATGCCAGAGCACTGACTTTCTATTCAAATCAGAGAAACACCGCTGATGATTTTTCATGCTTTCCAAAAATCTGTTTATATTTAGACTTTTTAAAAGGCAGCAGCTGCAATCACAAACTTTCCTCCTAAATCTACAAGGTCATTTTATACCAAGTAAGATTAAATAGAATTTATGAAACACTATTATGTAAGAAGTCTACATGGGAAGTCTGCTTTAAACTCCACCACATCCAACTCCTTTCAGTTCCATATACTGCACACACTACTTCATTTTAAAATTGAAATATTAAATTAGTAATTTTTTTACATAAAAATCAGGATACCAGAGCTTCTCTGGGAAAGACTACACAACATTAGATGTGGGGGGAAGAATCCTCCTCCCCTCAGGCCTGCGTCATGCAGGGGGAGGAATGGGGACAGCACTTGCTAGATGGCCACTTACCATATACGCAGCCAAAAAAGGAAAATGGAGAATAACCCTTAAATGAATACCAAATGCAGCTCCTCACAGAGCCTCTTACAGTTACCAAGTATTTCATAAACATGAACTGGAGCGTAAAGTGACAAAATTCCCCATTTCCAAGGATTTAAAGAAGTACAGTGAGTAAAGGCCGAGGTTGTCCGCTCATTCTAGGACGTCAGCTTGGGACCTTCAGACCTGTTTCAGGTCTGTGCTCCATTTTTTTTCCAGTTAGCCAAAGCAGTACTTCATCGCTCAAGTTAAACTTATGAATCAATATAGCTAGTATAATACATATGTGGTTTGAAGAATAAACCTGCTGAATGATTAATAGCCAACATACAAAACTGTCCCAAATACACCTAACTATCACTATGTTTTGTAGCATTTAACCAAGTTGTTTGCTATGATGTAGTGCTCCTCAGCAACCCTATCAAACAAATGAACACAGCATTTGCCAAAAGGTCATAAATAAAAGTATTTCATACAGTGACACTTACTTTTAGGTTCTGCCCAGATAAAGCAGGATGTTTGACAGCCACTTTTTATGCATTAAGATAAAGTAAGCTATTAACCCAGCCAAGGAAATTAACTCTTCTCTGCACTGAGAGGGATTTAGCTAACTCTAGTATTTGGGGATAAAATAAATCTCTAATCCTGTGTTATACTCAGCTTCCATTCCAATTACAATATAATACTAGTTCAGCCTTCATAACAGAAAGATTGTTATAAATAGCAACGACTATTTGCCTCTAAATACTTTCAAAGTAGTTTTAACAGGCTGGAAAAACTAGACTTCTGCATCGCTGTAATGCCCATTCAGTTCTAGGTCTTTCCAAAGAAGTCGCCAACAACATTGTGCTGGCACAAACACAAAGGCTTCAGAGAGCAGAGATTACAGGTAAGGGGAGTTTCCAGCAATATGAAGTTCAGGAGAGTTTAAGAGAGTAAAGGGTATAAAAATTGAATGGTGTGCAGAACGGACACATTACTATCACAGGAGAATAATGACAAACTAATGAATTAAAGATGAGCATGAAATTACTCCCTCATTAAGTGTCGATAAGATACTCATCAACTTCAACAGGGCAAACTGGAATTCACAGAAAAACCTGGAAGTATACTGCCAGCCTATTAAACACTTACTGTAACTCCATACTTTCAAATAAAAAAATTGGAAATGTTTGTTACACTTCAGTATAGCTCACACAGTTTAACAAAGAAGTGTCCTTAGAGGCAGAACACCCCAGGTTTCTGGCTCACTTCTGGGTTTCCTTCCAATTTCTAGTCTTGTACCGGTTGCTTATAGCAATATATGGGGCCA